GTATTATTCAGAAATGTAGTAAAGTCACAGTTATGGAGTAGCAACAAAAATAATTTTATGGTTGGGGAGTCACGACAACATGAACTGTATTAAGGGGTTGCAACATTAGGAAGGTTGAGAACCACTGCTCTATGGTTTTTGCTTCAGTTTCTGCCTTGAGTCACTGTCTTGTCTTTTCTTCAAGATGGACTGTGACGTGGAACTGTAAGACAAATAAATCTTCCCCCCCCCCCAGGTTGCGTTTGATCATGGTCTTTATCACAACAATAGAAAATGCATTAGGACAATGGCCTTTGGAATGGTTTGTGAAATATGAAAGAGTTTGGAATTTGGGGCTGGAAAAGCCTGAAATGCTATAAGCAGAGCTCAATGAGACATTCTTATGAAAGTTTGAAGATAAGAATACTGAGAAAAATTCAGACAATACAGGCCGAGCTCATGATGTTTCAAAAGAGAATAAGAAGGGACCAGGCTAGAGATCATCTGAGTTATGTGTGAGCACAGAATCTAGTTTCATACTACATGTGTATGGAGAAATGGAGTAAAGCTGAGTTCAAGAGTAATAGGCTAATTCAGTGGAGAAGATCTGGGCAGGAGTATTTGAGCTGCTTCATTGTCACAGTCAGAGCAACAGGTGGAGTAAAAAGATAGGAAAATGCGATGTTTGATGAGGAAAAGAGAAAGTTTAAAGCTGGGTCCTGAGAAAGTATCTTATAACTGCTAAAGAGATCAGAAAATAGTCACCCCTGAAAATATGCATACAAGTAACAATATATGGACTGAACAGGTTATAGTTAGAAATATGTATGTATATACACAAAAAAAAAATCTATGTATTCAATAACAACTAGTGAAGAAAGAAGCCATGAATTTGAAAAACAGTAGGGAAGGGTAGATGGGAGGTTTGGCAGAAAAAAAAAAGAAATAAATGTTGTTAACTATACTATAATCTCAAAAATAAAAATCTAAAGAAAAAAGAATGAGAATCTGAGAGAGAGAGAGAGAGAGAGAGAGAGAGAGAGAGGAGAGAGGACAAATATTATTTTTGTGAAGGATGGGAGTTCAGCTCTCAGCACCCATGTCAGGTAGGTCATAACCACTTGTCCACTCAGGCTTCAAGGGATCTGACCTACCCTCTTATGTATTCCAGAGGCACATGCACTCATGAACTTTCACACACACACACACACACACACATACATACATACACACACATACACACATACACAGACACACACACTCACACACAGGGGTGAAAAAGGAGGGAGGAAGAGAGGGAAAGATAGAACTGTGCTCTGCCCTAGGAAAATAAAAAAGGTGCTCTAAAGCTCTATCTTGAAACTCTTCTGAAATTTGAATAGCAAATTCTTTCAAAGGGATTCAATGCTAGAAAACAACCATGTAGGGACTTGTTGCCCAGGGTCAGCCTAGAGGCTGGTGTAGCTGTGGTCCAAGTGGGGTAGACTATATCTCAAACTATCAGCAGAACTTGGCACCTACATCTTGTTTTTATAGGCATGATAGACACAAGAGTGAAGGAGTCACATTGGCTTGTTTCAATATTCCAGAAAACCACTGAAGCGAAGCCATGTAACTCAGAATTTACTTCAAGGAGGCCCTGAATGGCCATTGTGTAGAGTTGTGAGAAAAAAGCCTAGGTTTCAATGGAGACCTCAGAATACTGGAAATGCCAGGACTGTGGAATATCTGCTGAGGAAACCTGTTGGCGTGAAGTAGAGCTGGCTCAAGAGAGAGGCTATATGTGTGCTGCAGGCAGCAGGGCCGAATGTGCAGGGCTCCCAAAGCCCTTGGTAGACCAGGTGCTTCCAATCCAGCACCAGATGCCCAACACCAGATGCAGTCCTGGATCTGCAGGACTTGGTGTTGTCTCTGCTGGGTTTTTCTTTTACTGTGTTTTGATATTTCCTTGATACACCTTGCCCCCATTTCTTCTTTGGAAGGGGAATGTTTACTCTGTGCCATTATAGGTTGAAAATATGTAATGGTGAGTGAGAAGTGTGTGTGTGTGTGTGTGTGTGTGTGTGTGTGTGTGCATGAGCGCATGCTGGTGCTCAGAGGTCAGTGTTGCGTGTCCTTCCTTGAGAGCTACATACTTTTCTTAAAACAAGGTTTCATACTGGTGTGAAACGTTTAAATAAATACCTACTTTCCAAATAAAGTAGGTTAGCTAGTCAGAGAGCCCCCAAGGATCTGCCTCTCCAGAGCTGGGTTACAAGCACAAGCCACAACATCTGGCTTTTGCATTTGTTTGTTTGTTCATTGTGTTTGTTTGTTTGTTAGTGTGGACTCTTGGGACCAAACTCAGGTCTTCATGCTTGCAAAGCAAGCACATTACTAACTGTTCCACCTCTCTAGCCCATGCAGATTTTTAATATTGTAGGGGCTCACAGTTAAGAGGCTGCCTGACCCTTAGAAGGGCCCTGCACTTGTGCTTGCACTTGCGAATACTATTGCAGAAACTGTTAATGAATGGGCACTTCTGAAGCTGGAATGAATGCATTTTTGCACTAAGAGATTACCATTGGGCATATAGGGAACTAAAGGTGAGAGGTTGTAGACTAAAAACAATATGGTGTCAAATTGACAAGTGGTGACCTTGTGATGATTAAGATTGTCAGCTTAGCAGTGTACAGAATCACTTAGGAGACAGACCTTTTGGTGGGTTTATGAGGAATTTTCTAGATCAGGTTAACTGAGGTAGAAAGACTTGCCCTAAATATGTGCAACATCATTCCATGGGCTTGGGTTCCAGAATGAATAAAAAAAAGAGAAAGAAAAACATTGAAATGGCAGTAATACACAGGCACAGTCTGCCGGAATCCTCATGGAATGATCTGGGGAAAGCTGAAAAGTAGCTGTCATGAGAGTAGCCAACACTCGGCAGCTGGACAAAATGGTCGTTCCTAGGGCTGCAGCAGCAACAAGGAGACACTGAGGGCTGGGACATCAGCAGTTGGGGTGGCTGGCTCTGGGCTGGACACTTTGGGTCTGTGTTTAAAAGCTTCATCATAGTTTGTGCTTTTCTGAAACAACAATTGTGTAACTATCGGGGTCTTGATCTGGTTTGCTTTCTCTGCCTCTTAAAGAATTAAAAAGCAGGAAAAAAAAATCTCAAGCTCAACAGGTAACAGGGATTTCTCAAATGCAGCAGACCAAACTAGCCTGGTGAAGAAAAGCCTTTATCAGGGGTGAGCAACATGAGCTACCATGTGGGTTTTGGGAATTGAACCCACGTCCTTTAGTGCTCTTAACAGTTGAGCCATCTCTCCAGTGCAAGAAATTCATCATCTTTATTATCCTGTCACAGGATCTCTCCTTACCTGTCTGCCTATCAGGAAATCTGTCTAACTCCTAGTCACTCAGTTTTCTTTCTGGGCTTCACCCTCTCAGGAGCTATGGGACTTTTTTGCCCTTTGGTACCCTCTCCTGTTCTCTATGACTTTTGAAGCGAAAGCAGCCATATTCTCTTCTACTTCCTTTGACCTTGCATGTCTCCCTTATTTTGTGTGTTCTGATGAACCAGCCTACCTCCATCTTAGGCTTAAAAGCTATCATACAGTAAAGACAAACTATGTTCTGTTTATGTTTCTCAAGGATTGGGCTATGGCCTCACGTGTAACAGGAAACAACAACCATGCCTTTGTTTCAGAAGTTGTTTATAACCATCTTGCAACCCTACCTTTGTTTCAAAAGGTTGTTATAACTACCTTGTGACCACCTTGCAGTCATGTCTTTGTTTCAGGAGGTCATTATAATGAACTTGTTATGTTTATATATGTTATGCTCCTGTAACCGTTCCTATTTTTCCCGTTTGGAAACCCCCTACCCCTGAACTATAAAAACTTTGTCTTCTTCATGCCAATGCTGACCTCTTGAATACTGCTTAAAGTGTGGCAGCTTGTGTACACGAATTAAAACATTTGCTTTAATTAATTGATTGTTTTATTTAATTTGACCATGACGATTTGGGTCAGTGATCTTTCTCCTCCCATCTTAGGTATTAACAGTTCCTTCTCAGGAAACCTGGGGAAAGTAGTTATTTCAGGGTGTGAGAGGGAAGACAAGTTCTTTATTAATGACAAAAACAATGTATATTCTGCTGTTGTTGGCTATAGTGTTGTATACAGGTATTATGATGCTATTTGAAATTTTATTATTATTATTATTATTATTATTATTATTATTATTATTATTATTATTATGTCTTTTTTTTCAAGAAATGTTTTCTTTGTGTAGCCTTGGCTGTCCTGGACTCATTTTGTAGACCAGGCTGACTTCCAACTCACAGTGATCCACCTGCTTCTGTCTCCCTGAATGCTGGGATTACAGACGTGAGCCACCACGTCTGGCTAGTTAGTTAGTTAGTTAGTTAGTTAGTTAGTTAGTTAGTTACTTAGTTTTTTGGTTTTTCTAGACAAGGTTTCTCTGTCTAACAGACCTGGGCTGTTCTGGAATTCGCTCTGGTGACCAGGCTGGCCTCAGACTCACAGAGATCCACCTGCCTCTGCCTCCCAAGTGCTGGGATTTAAAAGTGTGCGCCACCACCGCTTGAAATGTATTTTTAAAATTATATTTATTTATTGTGCATGTGCGTGCATGTGCCTGTGCATGTCACAAAGCATGTGGAGGTGAGAGGGGAAATTGCAGAAATTGGTTCTCTAGTTCCATTTTGTGGAGCTCGGGGATCGAACTCAGCTCTTCAGGCATGGTGGCAATTACCTTAATCCGCTAAACCTCTCAAATGTAGGTCCTCAAACGTAGGTTCTCTTTCTCCCTCTTCCCCACCTCCGCCTTTCTCCATCCCTCCCTTTTTCTTTCGTCTATGCTCCCTATGTTTCATGTTCTCCTGTAGTTATTAGGATTTACCACTGACAGAATTTTCTACTGTTCTGGTCTTGCTGCCAGGTCAGCAGAAAACGAACTTGTGTTCTGAGAATCGGCTTTTGGCTCATTTTGCCTGGCGAGGTCGGCCGCGCGATTCGACTTCCTGGGGGACCACGTGATCTAGACGGATGATGGCGGGCGCGGCAGAAGATATGCGAGCGCTCTTCGGGGCTGGCGTCCGCGCAGCGCTGGAAGCTTGGCCTGCTTTACAGGTGAGTGAGGCTATGGCAGGGTCATGATTACGGATGGGAAAAAGTAGGAGTTGGCCAGGCGAGGCGCCAGAGCCATGTCTGGGTGCTGTAAGCGGCAGGTTACTAGGCCAGGGGCAGGCCATGCCACTCCGGTTTTCATGCTGTCATGGTTGGCTTGGGCCTGTGTTCACAGATCGCTGTGGAGAATGGCTTTGGGGGCGTGCACAGCCAGAAGAAGGCCGAGTGGCTGGGGGGTGCAGTGGAAGATTACTTCATCGCCAATGGTGAGTGAGTGTGAGATGTCTTGTTTGTCGGGTGAGGAGTAGCGGAGCCTCGTCCTAGAGAACCCGCGCTTTCTCTTGTGGAATGAATGGTGACTTTGGGATCAGTATCGTGCGTTTAGAGTGCTTTGTAGGCAATGACACTGAATAATGCTATGATCCTGGAGAATATATTTTATCTTCCAGAGAGTCACTAAATGGTTATGGAGAGATCCAACTAATAGAACTATGCGAGCCTTATCATGTAACTTAAAATTGCTACATCAGTGGCGGGGAAAACAGGTCCATGGGCAAAGGCCTACAAGCATAACAATCCGCTTTTGATAGCTGTGACCAAATGGAAGGAGAAAGCTGACTCACTTAAGATGTCCTACTCTCCCTACACAAGTAAACATAATTTAAAAATTGTTGGGTGAGGAGTGTAGCCCCGTGGTAGAGCACTTTCCTAGCCTGCTCATGTTCTTAGATTCCAATCCTCCCACCACCAAAACTAAAAGCAATACCTCTGATGACATAAAAGGCAGGCGGGCCCTGTGGTGGAGACCTGTAATCTCTATTACTCCTGAGGCAAAAGGACCTCAAGTTCAAGACTAGCCTGAACAAATTTACCACGACCTTGTCTTGTAATAAAAAATAAAGAGCTGGAGCTATAACTCAGTGGAAGTGCTTACCTACTACACTATCCCACACTAGCACGAATGAATAAAAGCATGAAAAAAGCAAAATTATAGTGTTGTTAAATTTACATACGAAACCTAGCATATGGGTCATGTTTGTAATTCTAGCACTTGGGAGAATGAGGTAGGAGAATTGCTCTGAGGGTGAAGCCAGCCTTGGCTACATAGCAAGAAATTGTCCTTAAAAGAAGGGGCTAGAGAAAGGCTCACACATAATAGTGCTTCCTGCTCCTCCAGAGGACCTGAGTTGGCTTTCCAGAACCCATGTCTGGCAGCTCACAGCCACCTGTAACTCAAGTTCCAGACAATCCACAGTCTTCCTCACTGGCACACATGTGCATATACACATAATTAACGAATAAATAAAACCGGACTGGCGAGATGGCTCATCAGTTAAGGACTAGGGTTTTGTTCCTAGCATCCATATGGTGACTCAACAGCTGCCTATGACTCCAGTTCCAGGGGATCTGATACCATCTTCTGTCCTGTCTGGGCACAAGGCATGCACATAGTGCACAGGGATCTATTCAAGCAAAACACCATACACATTAAATAAATAGAACAAAAATCCTCTTCCAAAATATTTTAGTGGTCATTTATACATTTTTTTTAGTATTAAATTTTCATCTGGAGTTTTAAAAGTCTTAGCACTTCTTAATTGGAACTAGCTACATTTCAAGTGCCTATGCTTGGTAACCACATATGGCTACTTCTACAGAAAAACATCTGCACCTTTGTTTTGTCTTTGTGGGGTATAAGAGAACAAGAGGACCTAGTAGGAGTATTAAATGCTGTAGTTTTTGTAAAATTCTTCATTAATATCCTAGTTTTGAGGATGGTATTAGGCAGAATCAGATCTCAATATTTACATTCTAGTGAGTGATTTCAGATAATTAAATAGTTAAAATATTTGGTGATAAGTGTTATGATAAAAAAAAAATGCTCAGAATTCTTTAGTTATCTGAGCCTGAGGAGAAGCCTTTTTGATTTGTCAAGACAGGGTTTCTCTGTGTATCCCTGACTGTTCTAGGACTGTCTCTCTCCCCCAGCCCTCTCTCTCTCTTTAAACTAAGAGCTCTACTTATCTCTGCTTCCCAAGTGCTGGGACTAAAGGTGTGTACTACAGGCCAGCCAGAAGCCTTAAGAGTAGTGATTGGTGTGAGTCTTAAGGAATGAAAAAGGGATGAAGTAGATAGAGATGATAAAGCACACACTCAAAGGAGTTGAGATAAATGTTGCCTTTTGAAGGGCCCCTGGGCTGTAGTAAAGGGATGGAAGGATGGTAAAGAGTGGAGCATGTGAGTGTATGTGTGTGTGTACACGTGTGTATAGTGACACCCTGACCCTAAAGGGTGATAGAATGCCATATGTGCTTTTGATTACATTCTTTAGGGCAGTGTTTATAAAATTCAAGCTATAGACTTGTCTAGTTAGATGTTCAATGAAGAAAAATTTTCTCCAGTCAAATTACATAAGCTTTTTTCTTCCAGCTTCTATTTATTATTGTTATAATAATTAGTGGTAGTAGTAGTAATTGGAGACAGTATTTCCTTTTATAACCCAGGCTGTCACAGAATTCATGTTCCGCATGCCTCGTTTTCCTGAGCACAGGTATTATAGATGTGTCATCACTCCTGACTTTGTTTTCCATTAGCTTTCTATGGAGATTGTCCCTTAAATCTCTGCAAATTTGAGATGTAGATATAGCCCAACTGGTAGAGTACTTAGCTAACATGTAAGAGACCCGGGTTCAATCCACAGAGCCACATTAATCGGGCATTGTGACTCACACCTGTAATCTCAGCACTGGAGAGGTGAAGGCAGGGGGATCATCAGTCACCAGGAGGAATTTCAGTTTGGCAGAATATTTCCCAAAGACAGGCTTCACAGTAGGTTATAAAATTGATGAGCAGGTTCTAATGTAAGTAATAGGATGGTGTTTGCTAGCTAGAAAATTCAGAAAGTAGTTAAAGAGTATGATTTTTTTTTCTAGAAAATAAGGTCTAAAATGGAACAGTATCAATGGTCAGGGAAAAGAGAGTATCCATAGAGGGGGTTTGGAAAAGAGACCAATTTATAATGAGTGGCAGTGTAGGTTAGGAGCCTTTCACTGGCTAGAGAAAACTTGGAGGATGAGATGCTGGTTTGGGGGGATAATAAATCTGTCTTTTGGGGGACTTAAAGCACCTGAGTGGAAGAGAAATTGGGGGGCTATAAGATTTGGATGGCAAGTAAAAGGAAAAGTGTGTCTGGGTGAAAGCATGTAGGGAAAAGAAAGCTAGTCTTTTATTCAGAAAAGACAGAGCATGGGCTCATGAGATAACTGAGGTCCAGTGAATAGGGCTTAGCCACAATCAAAGAGTATGAAAGTAGTATTAAGGTTATAACGATTTCATTTTTAGAAGTAATGCATCCTGCTGAGGGTGGGTTGACCCTGGTGTTGATCCCCAGCACCAAAAAACAATGAACTACCACATCTATTTCTTCTTATTCATTGCTCTTGAATTTGGACTCCTTTATTAGTGGAGCCACAGTTGTGAAGGGTCTCTGCACTTCTATACTTCAGCTTTGAAGTGATGCAAATTAATATTAGGGTTTTTGTCTCCCTTGTGCCAAGCACTGTGTTAAACGAGGTCTTCTAACAGACTGTCCTGGAGCCCCTGTTAGCTTCTCTATAAATGAGAAATTGGAGGCTCTGAGAGAAGTAGTTTGTTCAATGTTACCTTAAACTGAGGTTAGTTGGAATAGACAAGGTAAAAGAGACTGTTTTAGTGAATAAAGGATCAGTGGACTTTTACCTGCCAGTCAGATATAGCAGGCAGGTATTGAAGAATAGGGGACAGGGCTGATAAAACTAGTCTTTCACTAAAGGGCCCTATCCTTTCCTATTTAGCTGACTTGGAGCTGGAAGAGGTGGAAGATTTCCTTGGGGAGCTGATGACCACTGAGTTTGATACAGTTGTGGAAGATGGGAGTCTGCCCCAGGTAAGCTTATGGAGACAGCTGCCAGCCTCCTGCCTGCTCTTTCTCTCTACTGTTTTGAACAAGACTCTTGGTAGTGATCATTTTTTTCTTGAGGCATAGACAAGCTTCCCTATTGCATTTTCAAACATTACCTTTTATTTCTCTCTCTAGATTATTCTCAACCAGGAATTTTCTCCACATCCCAGAAACTGGGCCAGATCAAATTCCATCCCTATTCTGATTAACAGTTTACCTTGGTGAAGATTATCTTTCATTTTGCTTCTTCTGTCCCTTTTTTTCTTTTTCTTTCTTTTTTTTGAGACAGTGTTTTGCTCTCTAACCCAGGCAGTCTGAAATGTAGTATGTAGCCCAAGCCAGCCTCAAATTCATAGCAGTTTTCCTCCCTCAGCCTCCCATGTACTGGGATTACTGGTGTGTACCACTCAGTCAAGGAGGACCTCATCCAAGGCTTTATACCCTCCCACAATTGTGGTTGCTTCCCTGAACTTTGTTGTTGCTTTATTTTTTTTACAGGGTCTCACATTGTATCTCTGGCTTGCTTGGAGCTTGCTATGTAGGCCAGGATGGCCTAGATCTCAAAAAGATCTGCTTGCCTCTGCCTCATGATTGCTGGGATTAAAGACCTGCACCACCACTCCCAGCTGTTGTTTGACTTTGACAGTATCTCACCAAACACAAAATCCTCCTTCCTCAGGTCTCTCCATCATCTACAACCACCACTGTGCCCAGCTGCTTGGCTGAACCTTTTTGTTGTTTTGTTTTGTTTTGTTTTGTTTTTTGAGACAGGATTTCTCTCTGTAGCCTTGGCTGTCCTGGACTCACTTTGTAGACCAGGCTGGCCCTGAACTCACAGAGATCTGCCTGCCTCTCCCTCCCAGAGTGCTGGGATTACAGATGAGTGCCATCATGCCCGGCTTGGATGAACTTCTTAGGGAGAAAAGAGCACAGAAAATTCCACCCCCTCTCTCCTCTGCTATAAATAGGCTGGTTTTATGGTAGAGTTCTGAAAAATCCAAGCTGGTTGGATGTTTCCTTGGTAGGTGAGCCAGCAGCTACAGACCATGTACCACCACTTCCAGAAGGGTGATGGGGCTGCTCTGCAGGAGATGACCTCTGAAATTAACCAAAAAAAGTGCAAAGTCACAGCTACCCCATTCAAGACAGCCAAAGAAACGGATGTGGATGAAGATGATGTGGACAGTGTGGAAGAAATGGAGGTGAAAGAGGTGCCTGTGTGTGTGTGGTGGGGGGGGTCCCAAATGTTTTTATTTTCTGGACAAATGGCTAGATTCTTGGGGAAGTGATGGTGGTTGTAGGTGGTGGGTACTGGTGGTATTTTTAAGATAGCTCATATAGTCATGGGAAGGTTGGGAGCAGAACCTGGATAATGTACTCAGTGCTCTTGTATTTTCCTTTCAGGTGACAGCGACAAATGATGAGGCCACAACGGATGGGGTCTCTCCCCAGCCTCAACCCACTGATCCAGACTCCCAGACTATTAAGGAAGAGGATATAGTAGAAGACGGTTGGACCATTGTCCGGAGAAAGAAATGAGCAGGGCAGTAAATGTTTTGGGCTATTGTTAGGTGTTATGAGAGACTTAGGGGCTGTTTGGGGCGCCCTGTACACCTCTGTCCTGGTAACCATATCCCTACCTTGTTCACCTGTCATTCCCTTCAGGGGAAGAAAAGCCCTAGAATCTTTGGTTGTGGGGTTGATGGGACCTATTGAATCTTAAGGTACCATATGAGAAATGAGACCATGTTTGCCAGCATAGTGCCTCCTAGGTGCGACGAATGTTAAGATGGCTGATGAGTGTGGATGTACTTATACTAGAAGCCAACTTGTGATAAGTGGGCAGGTGAGAGGCTGGCTGAATTGGGAATAATAGTGAGATAAACACGCATTTGGAAGACAGAGTAGATGGAGGTGTGGTACCTCCCAATATCCCACCCCAGCCTCCCACAGAGCAACTCTTACCCTGCCCAGAACATGCATCTTCCCCACCCCCACCTTGAAAACTCTCAAGAGTTTGAAGGATTTAAGTGGTGAACTTGGGAAAGTTGGGCTGTTTTAAGTCCAGGGATGAGGCTTAAGACCTTAATAACATAACACCTTCTCGTTTAATCCATGATTTAACCTTGGAATCAGCCTTCTGAGAGCTGAGCTTCAGAGTTTAGCAAGAGAGGAGTTTTCACACCCTCCCATCTCCCTTAGTAGCCTGGGACTTTGGACAAACGGACGGACCATCGCAGTGCTCTGAAAGTTACTGTAAGCCTGAAATAAACTGTATTTTTCTTTAAAAAACAGTATCCATTGTCTTCCCCCCCCCCTCCCATTCCCGTCCTGCCCAGTGGCCCTGCCATGGGTCTGGACGATAAAATACTGGATTGCTTTGGGGCTAGGTAGAAGCTATAAGCCATGGGAAAGGCAAGAAGGGTCTAGTCACCACCCCATGTAAAGTCATACATGTGAAGACACTGGCTGAGGAGGCAAGGGTAGGTTGGGATCCCAGGGTCAGTAGCAGAGCTGGCACTTGAATCCAGGTCTCCTGCCTCTGGTGCTTTTATGGGGAACTGGGTGGAAGTAGGATCTGTGGGGTATTGGGAGGAAACAGCCTAATTCAAGTGAATCTAGCAATTAGCTCCCCCCCTCCCTGGGGATAGGGATTTAAAAAATTAACATCAATGTAGGAATATTTTTTTAAAAAGCCCACATTTTGTGAAAAGATGAATTAAAAAACCCAAGACCCAGCATTCGGGATTGAAAGTGCCCTTGATGGGAATTCAAGTATTTGACTGCATTAGGAGTGGGCTGGAGCCCCCAATTGAACATGGGCAGCTGGAGTGTGGGTCAGGAACTCCCAGTTGCCCCCAAAAACCCTCTAGGTCTTTTCTCGGGTCTGGGAGGTTTCAGGAGGTTCAGCAGTGGCTCCTGAGGCTGCCACTGGTGTCTCCTCTGTCTCCTTGTCCTCAGACAGTGTGGGCCCTGGGCAGAATGTGTCCCCACGGCCCGCCCTGCCGAGCACAGCCATCCAGCGCTGCTGGAGTTCTTCGGTCTCTGGGCTGAAGTACCAGCTTAGGTGGCTCTGTGTGATCTTGAAGACATGCCTCCTGTCGGGCCGTTCCCCTGCCTCAGGAGGCCCCACCTCAAAGCCAATGAGGGGCAGGCTGCGCTGGGCTTTCACATCCTGGGGAAGAGGGACAGATATAATGTCATCTAGAGGCCAAACAGTTAAACAGCTTTGTTGTGTTGTTTCCTCTGCTGAAGAGCCTTGCCTTCTCTTTAATGAACAGGAAGATGTCTGAACTAGTAGTAAAAGGCAGGTTGGTTTGCTTATCTGTCTCCTCCCATACCCAAATCAACTGTTAGTCTTTACTATTACAGATTCAGTTCTTTGGCTAGTTCCTCTATCTGTATATTCTCTACTTAAAGTCAGACCTAGAAGTGCCTGTCCTCACTCCTTTTTTCTCCAGAAAGCCAGACTTCCCACATCTCCCTCACCCCCCCCCCCATATTGTGGCCTCTAAACACTTCTCTCTACCTACTCTGTCACATAAGGATGGTGGTTTTGATTTTCCTCTTTGATAGGCTCTCTTGGTCCTGGAAGGATAAGGCACATGGGGGAGGGGCAGCCTGGCTTTGTCAGATGGCTGGAAAAACCTGAAGGAGTGGATGCACACCTGAGGGGCTCCATAGATGTACAGCACCAAGGGTTCATTCTCAGGAACCACAAACCATGCCTTGTGCCATCCTTTCCCACCTTTCTCCATGTAGTGCAGGAAGCTGCAGATGACGCTGTTCTCAGCAGCTACTGAGGCCTGTTTCTGTGATCAGAGACACAAGGTACATTAATGTTGACAGAAGGCTTTGCTCTTGACTTAAGCAGCCCCATAGTATATGAACTATGTCTCAAACAAAGGTAGCAAGGCATCTTTTGGGCCATTGTTAGGTGTTATGAGAGACTTATAGGAGCTGTTTTGGGGGGGCCTATACACCTCTGTCCTGGTAACCATATCCCTACCTTGATTGGCTTGATTGCTTTCTTTAACAGCTAGTAGAAGGGGTATGTGTGCAGATCTCAGTGGGGATAGTGGAATGCTGGCCAGGCACTCTTCAGTCTAAGTGACATTCACAGCTAACCCTTTTCATCTTTCATTATATACTCCTTGTCTGCTCTGAGAAAGTCCTAACATGTGGTTAAGGGGATGAGTGGGTGGTTAACACCATCTGTTCCAGAATCCTAACAATAGATGAAAATGCAGGACTTGTGAGAAGAGCACGGAGGCTTTTTCTTAGATTTAAATTAGCATAAACAAGGTATTTAAGAGTTCCTGGTCTAGAGTAAGCTCCATTATATTTGGGATACCTTGGTTTATTTAAAAACAATCACCCCAAACTTGTGTGTATTCATGGTCCTGGAAAGACAGGATCAATATTACCAGTGGCAACTTCTGTGTAAAGGGATATGTTTTATTCTATGTTATCCTACTTACCCTATTTCATAATTAAAAAAGCACTTGGTTCATTAAAAACAAAAACAAAACATCCCATAGGCCAGCCTTGGCTACTCATTGAGACCTTGACTCAGATAAAACAAAACCTAGCAGTTTTTCTGGCTGTGCAACTTTGCCAAATAACTTCTTTGGGTTTCATATGTTAATAAAGATAAGAGTATGGGTTGATTAGTTACTGTGATGGTTAAATGTGTGAAGTTCTTTAATAAAAAAATACCCTTTTAACCTTCATACTCATTTTCTGTGTCTCAAGCTTAGATAACTTGATTAGTGAGTGCACACAGCGCCCTATTTTCTAAGAGATATGCAGACCTCTACACTGGATCTGTAACTGGGGCACACTTTGGGTATTGTGGTTGGGATCCTAGCTCTTACCTCTAGGATGGACCTCCTGCGCTGGGGTGTATGCTGGCTACAGGCTGGACTGCTCCCAGGTGCTCCATGCAAGGCCACATAGCAATCAGTGCACACACGGTTGGAACGGTTGTTGTCATAGATGAGGCGGGCCCGGAACTCTGAGCATTTCCCACAAACCACCTGGGGCAACAAGTGGGCAAGAAGAGCCTGATTGCCTTGGGCTTTTCCCTCATTGTATCAACTACTGCAGCCTCCTTGGGGGCTACCCCATCAGAAGTGGGCTTTTAGGCTGTCAGCCTGTCCCCACCGTAGCTCTGCCCCTGCCTCCCAACACTCACATGCCCACAGGCCTTGCAGTGGTGCCTGCGTTTGGTGATGGAATTGAAGGGCTCTTGGCAGCGCATGCACATGGTGACTTCCTTTTCCCGGATAGGTGTAGGTGCCCTCTTCCCAAGGTCCACGTTCTAGGGAGAGGGTTAAGTCCCAGGTCAAAGACAGCCCCTCAGCCCAGTCCAGCCACCCGTCCTTGCCTCTGCTCTGAGGCTTGAATCATGGGGTTAACCCGTGGGGCACACATACAGAAGGCCTGGCTCTGCCCTGCCACATTTATTGGAGGTAAGTCACTTCACTTTACTAGCAGAAGACTGCTTCAGAAGGACTGCACTGCCTCTCTAATCCCTATTTGCTGGGAAAAGGGAAAGATTATATCAAGGGAAGGTGGGAACATAAGCTTCACAGGGGTCCCCAGGACTGGGGACAATAGGACTCTTACTGGAGAGTTAGGGGGAGTATCTTCATCATCCCTGTTTGTTGAGTTCAATAGTTTGAAAGTCTCCAGGGTCTGTTCATGCTTCAGGAGGGTGGAGTTAATGGCCTGGTGAAGAGGTGAGAAATGAAAGATCAGATCACATCTCCACCCTCACCACACTTTCCTAGGCCTTAGCCTTCCTAGGCCCAGCTCTGCCCCTGCCACACATGACTGAAAAGAATCCCTCCCTAAATCCAGGTCTACAACTTGTAATTATAAAATGTGCAAAGGGGAGTGGTAGCTGGAAAACCTCAGAAGGCCTTCCTGGCTGCCTGCTGCTGGCTGGGTGCAAGCTTTTATAAAACTTGATTCTGAGGAGCTGACTTTCTAAAAGAATATTTCTATCTAACCTCGGGACTTCAGCTTGCTCATCTGTGAGATAGCATCTGTTGGAAGGTTGCTGTCGAGGCCCAATCTGTTTAGATAGTTTTGAAAGAAAGCATATCAGCCCCTAAGAGACCTGTTAATGCCCTTCCAGACCCCTACCACAAAGCATTGCATGTTACCTGGACCCAGTCTTTCTTCTCCTCCTCAGTCCTTGTAGGGGAGAAAAGAAAGGTGTTAGGTTAGGCAGGTCAACAAAAGACAAATGGAATGGTATTTTAGAGTTACAGGACCTAGGTTTGACTCCGCTATTTCACTTAACCTTGGACAAGTTACATAACCTGTGTTTATCCAACAATGTCTTCCAGATCCCTACAATGGGGACTTAGGCCTCAGAGAAATCCCTGTCCTCAAGGAGATCATGGTGCATTAGAGGAAACAGACAGACAGGGAAAAAACAGTAGGAATCAATGCTGACTCTAGATGAAGACTGGGGAATCCAGAGGAGGAGACCTGCCACAGACTGAGTTTGACTGGGGCTTTTAGGAAAGGTTTCTAAACGGAGGTGCTAGACCTCAGACAAAAGGGTAACATGAAATGTATGTGAGTATGGAACATGCATGAAACTGTATCAGACTGCTAACGTCACTTTTGCAAAGGGAGGCAGTTTTCTTTTTTTTCATTTCATGAAGGTGATATTTACCACTATGTTCTCAGCAACACTGAGATGATGTGTAAAGTTCCCAGCATTGATATCTGCTATAATTCATGCTCTGACTTCCCTCTGCTCTTCCCTGCTTCTTCTACAGCCTTGCATTCTCTAAGGACTCTGGCCTGGCACAATCTTGTCAACTACCCCCTAGGAATAGGACCCCTCATTCTCTGCTGTCTCCTATCCAAACTCTTATTTTCCTTCCACATCTATATTCTAAGCTTCACATGTATTTTTCTAATGTGAAAATCTGACTGCATCATTAGTACCACTGTGTGAAAAAGGATGTGAACAAGATAGG